GGTTTGAGATATTGTGTGTGGGGTAACTGGGGTACTGTCACTGCAGCTGGAACAGCAGCACTGGCTGAAGGCAGCCAAGCAAGCCTTGCAGTCTGGTTTGGATGGCCAGGAATCCACAGAATCACAGACCATTGAATCAGAGAATAGTCCGAATAGGAAGGGACCTTAAAGCTCATCCTAGTTCCAATCCCCTGCCATGGGCAGGGACACCTTCCACTAGAGCAGCTTGCTCCAAGCCCCATCCAACTTGGCCTTAGATGTAGCATCCATCCTCCTTCTCCCTAGCACAGTTGCCTCACTGACCTTCTCTTTTGCCTTCCTCCTACTTCTCCAGTCACCTCTGGAGAAGTGATGTCCTTGGGGCAAAACCAGTGTGCATGCTTAAAGACACAAGATGATGAAGTCCTGATGTAATGCTGATGAGGGGTTCCTAGACTGGGTGGTTCACTCAAGTATCCAAGGGGTGCTGAGGTGGCTCTGGGCCTCCCTTTCCTCCACAGAACTTAATTAGGCTCATGTGGAAATGTTACAACCTAATGCTGGTAACAGCAACCATCAGCTGCATATAAGGATCCTCCTCCCACACCACTAACACCTTCAGGAGGTCTCACATTGCCTTTGGTAGCAATGCTATTTCCAGGGCATGACCTGGGTGATATGTAGAAAGCTAGATCATATATACAGTGTGAATAATTAAGGACTATGTTTAACTGCAGAGCAGTGATTTCTACCACCCAGGATGAGGATAGCATTGCCAGTAAAAGAGGAGGACACACCAGAGTCAATTCTTGTCACTATCTTCCTGCTCAGTGTGGGAGCTGAGCTGGTGATCGCAGCCCACTTTGGAGCTGGGTGGAAAGTCACAGAAACATAGAATCCCAGCCTGATTTGCGTTGGAAGGGACCTTAAAGCGCCTCCAGCTCCAACCCCCTGCCACGGGCAGGGACACCTTCCACTAGAGCAGCTTGCTCCAAGCCCCTGTGTCCAACCTGGCCTTGAACACTGCCAGGGATGGGGCAGCCACAGCTTCTCTGGGCACCCTGTGCCAGTGCCTCAGCACCATCACAGTAAAGAACTTCTTCCTTGTACCTAACGTGAATTTCCCCTGTTTCACTCTGAACCCATCACCCCTTGTCCTATCACTCCAGTCCCTAATGAACAGTCCCTCTCCAGCATCCTTGTAGCCCCCTTCAGACACTGGAAGCTGCTCTGAGGTCTCCAAGCAGCTTCTCTTCTGCAGGCTCAACAGCCCCAGTGTTCTCAGCCTGTCTCCATAGGCTCTGTGGGACATAAAGCCCAGGGGGAAAACATGAAATAGAAAGAAGTCATCAATCGGCACATATGGTTCTACATTTTGGGGCACCAGTTTTGCATAGGAGGCATCAGCTGTGCTGGAGCTTTACAAAACCCTTGGTTAGGGCTGAAGCTACAGGCAGGCTGCTGTGCCTTGCAGCTCGCTGTGCTGCAACGTGCCCACTCTTTGGTCCAGCATTGAATTACGGCACCTATAAACTGCTTATTTTATTGCTGAGGCTAATGAGCTCTGGGCCTTCTAGGTAAAGCCTTGTAATTACACGGCTTCTTGGGATGCTGATTTAAGGGTTGCATGATGTCTCTCCTCTCACCTTAGTGCTGTCGCTGACGAAGGGTGACCAAGCCACCCAGGTGGGCTGTTGTACCATTGGATCGTAAGATTGTCTCCCCTCCACCCAAAAATGAAATATCAAAGTGGCCAGAAAGACTCATCTGAACCATTAGGGACATGTGAGGAGCCTGTTGGAGTGGCTGGTCCTTCCAGCACTGTTGTCACATCAAGGTGAGGAGAGCGGATGACTATTTCAGGGCAGTGCCTTAAGCAACCTGTAGTGGACGGCGTCCCTGCCCATGGCAGGGGGTTGGAAGTAGATGAGTTTTAAGGTCATTTCCAACCCTAAACCATGCTGTGGTTCTGTGATCCTGACTTCCCAGCAGGATTTTGGTGGGGAAACATTTATTTGGAAATCCTACAGCGACTTTCTTTACAAATATAAGCCCAGGATTTCCAGCGAAGGAACCGTATTAGGAAAGATTTGGCACACCCTAAATAATAATCATTATTATTAGCTTAATTATATTAATTACTGTAATTATAAAGGAGGGCAAGACACTACAGGAATCACAGATGAGGAGGGTGCTATACAGATGCCAAGTGTTACTGGGTTTTCCCTTCCTCTCTGCAGTCTAAAGGCAGCTGCATTGCTTACAAAGCAGGGGGAAACAGCTCCAGAAGCGCACACACGGGCTCCTCCTGTACGTCTGTGTCAAGATCAGAGTGTCAGGTAGAAAATGCTGCCAGAGCCTGGTAGGCACGAATTGACAAGGGAATCCAGCGTTATCTGGAACTGCTCTCTCCAGAGGGGCTGAACATCTTTGATAGGTTCACTCCAGGGGGAAATAACTTCGGAGGATAAGAGGCATTGATGTGCACCGAGCAAAAGGCAACCCCTGTGCACGCCGGTGCGGCAGCGGGTTGGAGCTGACAGGCATTCTCTGCTTTCAATCTCCCTTTTTTTTCCTCTGCTCCCTTTTTCCTGGTTTTTGGGTGGTTTTTTTTTTTTACTATTATTATTTTCCAAAGCAGCCCCGGGTCTCCCAGTGATGGTGAATGTTGTAAGGAACCGAGTCGTGCCTCCGTGGAGTGGGGGAAGTGAAGAGCAGGAGATGGAGAGAAGGAAGGAGGGGGAATGTCAATAGGCAAATGTGCAAAGCAAACCTGGGGAGGGACTGTGTACCTAGTGTATGTGTACGTGCTGGTGGAGCCTCCAACGGAGCACAGGAAAGGTTTTCAGGAATTTTCCCATGTTTGGGAAGGAGGAAAAGGTGGAGCCTCTTTTGTCAGGGAAATCTGCAGCAAAATCCTACTCCTTTTGTAATGCAGTGGTCTGCCCTTGCATTGCTGGGAGTCGGATGCTGTTCCTGACATGAATAGCCCACAAAGAGAGTTTGCAGCCTCTTTTATGCTGTCCAGCTTCTCCGCTGCTATAAACCCACAACCTGAGCCAGTACAACTCCCTCAAGCACACCAAATTCTATTCTCAAGACTTTAGGAGCCCCAGATTCTGGTCCAGTGCATTAAAGCCAGGGTTTCGAGCAGATCAGGTACCTTCACTGCAGTCAGGGGCTTGTGCTGGTTTAAGGTCGGTGGGAAACACGTTGCATAGACACAGTTCTCCCCTGGATGCTTTCATTCTGTTACACCATAAGAGCTGTTTAGAGAAGCTGGCAGGGCTTTTTTGTGGGTTATTTTGAGTGGGGTTTTTCTCAGCTAACTGCAGCTTGCTGAGGGGTAGGCGGTTATGTCTGAGCTGCTTTATCGCCGCGACTTTGCTTTACGATGGGGAAAGAGAGATGGTTCCTTCTAGAGCACAATTCATCTCTCCCAGCCGAGCTGAACTGCACCTGGGAAGTTCTTCTTTCTCTCCATCTACTATATAAAAGGCATCTAGACAACTCGCTCAGATTTATGCATTCGAACTGATGACGCATAAGTTTAGATGGAGGAAACCTGGCCAGGCATCATTCTCTCCCTTTCACAGTGTGAGGGGTTTTTTCATCCTCCTCCAGGTATTTTTGCTCCTGTTGGGAAAAAAAGATGCTGGAGAAAACAGTGCCATGGGGATGCAAACACTATAAGGAAACTTCAAACCTTTTGGATGATGAGGTGCTTAGGCACAGCATGGCTTTGTAATGTCTGCAAACCTTTCCTTTTTGTATGACCCTGAACCCAAAAGTGGACAAATAAAACGGAGGAAAAACAAAGCAACATTTGAATGTTACCTTTGTTTTCACATGCTTTTGTAACACCAGGACAAGCAGCTACAGGTTATTCGTATCTTTTCATTGTCCTTGATTAAAAAGAGGTTGAGAGCATCTCTGTAGTGTTCTGTGGTAGCTTATCATGGGGCAGCTGCAGATGAAGAGATGCAATTGCTGTGTTCGTCTCCAGATTAGAGCTATTCCAAAACATTTTGCACTGCTCTTTGTGGACTTTTAGGCAATAACTGATTGACTCATGAGAGCACATCCCACTGCTGCCAGTAGACCAAGGTTGGCACAGGCAGAGGCTGCACCGTAGAATCATGGAATCACAGAATAGTTAGGACTGGAAGGAAACTTAAAGCTCATCCAGTTCCAATCCCTTGCCACGGTCAGAGACACCTTCCACTAGACCAGGTGAGCAGCAACAAGCCCCTTTAAGGGTGCTGATCCCTCCCTATTCTAATAGAGCAATTGCTGGTTGAGGACTCTTCCCCAGGGTGCAGCAAGGTGGTGGCAGCCACGATTGTGTTTTTTCAAGCTAACCAGGGTCATGTTTGTTCTGTGGACAGGTAGGAGACACCAGAAGCTGTTCAGATAATGTCTTCAGACAATAACTCTCCTTTCCCCACATCATTCCTGAACCACTGCCCCTAATAGAGTGTGCTGAGAGTTGTGATGGGGGCAGAGCCCTTTGTGGGAGTGCAATGAACTCAAAGCAATGTGTGTTCATTGCAGCCTCTCCTCACACTGACCAGCACCCTAATCTGTCTCAGCTGCAGGCATTGCAGTCCCAACTGCCTTATCTTCTCTCCCTCAGCAGACCTGCCCTTAAAGATGAGACAGCCTTGTTCAAATCACTGCTTTGAATCTGATTCAATAGTCTATGGATGCCCATATGGGGTATTTTACAAACATCAAGGTAAGCAACCTTCCCTAGCTGGGTATATATGAGTCCAAGGAGAGAGAATGGCCTTTTTTTTTGGTCAACCTTTCGATTTCTTATTGATATTCAGAGGTGAAAAGCATGAGTTTGTTGTGATCAGCATGTGCCTACCTGGTCTCAGTGATTTCCAGTCCTTAGGGAGTCTGAGAAGAATGAGTTTTGGTGAAACCCACCCCAAACAACATTTCTTTGCATTTTGTTTCATTTATTTCAACCATGGAGCTTAAAAAAAAGCAATTGTTCCCCTGGGATCAATCCATTTGGGGAGTTCTCAAAGCAGGTGGGAATTACTCCTGTTGAAGAGGGCTCTACACCCTCTTCATCACCATTGTGGATAGCATGGCCAGCCCCAGAAGACCCATCCCCAAGGCACAAAGAGCAGAAACCTATGGCCTGTCTGAAATAATGAGTAAATCATGACTGTCAAAACCAACTATAGAGGGAGCAGACATAATAGGAGATGGCATCCAGTAACCTGTACCAAGGCAAAACCTCCTACTTGGAAAGCTTGGCAAGAGCATGATCCAAAACAAAGTGGCCTGGGGTTTGGGGTTTTGGTTTTGTTTTGTTTTTTAATTGAATGTGCTTGCATAGTGTCATTAACATATTATCTGACAGTCATGAATATGCATCAGTGTGTTATTAGCTTCACTACATCACTAGTTTGGCACAGGCAAGCAGCACGTGCAGGGAATGGGAAAGAGCATGAGATAGAAGGAGGCGCAGACTTCCCTTGAGTGCAGATCCCCTTAAATGAGTGATAACAGGGGGATCTGTCCTGGTCATCTTTACTTTCCAGGGGCAGCTGAGAGAGGTTCATCCAGGGAGAACACCTGGTTGTCATGGGGGCTCTGGTGTAGTATAAGGCAGGTACTTTGGTTCTCAACAGGCTAAAATAAAGGAAAAGCCCATTTCCAGATCCAAGGGGCTCTGCTTTCTTAGTTCCCTGTTTTCTTGCAGGCACCAATTCCCAGACAGACTAAAGGGTCTGTAGCTTCATTTCTATCATGAGTTCCCAAGTCTATGCAGCATCCTCAGCTACAGCCTAAATCAGTCCCCCGTGCTGCGTGTAAAGTTCCAGCTATATCCACGATTTCCAACCCCTGAAGGCTGAAGAAAGCAAATTGTTGCTATTGTTCTTCATATTGCAGTAACTTTCACATGTGCCAAGCAGCACTGCCGTTCCATCCTTCTGGGAGGTGTGCAAACATGACCGTGCTTCCTGCTTCCCAGCAGTTCATAGTCCAGATGCAACCCCCCCTTGTAATTCGATGTGCAGAGAGACTGCAATGGAAGATGTGGCAGGAATTCCTCTTCCAGTTGACATAAACCAGTATTTTAACCATGCCTTTTATGTCCCAATGATCTAGCATGATTACTGTCAGTATGGCTGATATATCCCCATGAAGCTCTCATAAGGATATTGACCGCTGTACTTAAGGCCAAGTGAATGACCGCAGAGAACCTCTGCTAAGTGTCCCATCAACATTTGTCTGTCCTGGGTAAGTTCAGTAAGCATATTTACTTGGATTTTAAAGGGAACTATGAATTCTATCAACTGGGATGAGCATCCAAACTAGCTGCCTGTTATCTGAAATTACCACGGATTTCAGTTCTAGTGTAGCTTTGACTTTACTGGAGTAACATCTCCTGTTCCTCTAAATCACTCTGTTACTGCTCATGAGATTTCCACAGGACAGAAACGTTATCATAAAGCCATGTTAAGTTGGCCTGTCAGCAGCATCTCTCCAGGGATGCTGCTCTTCTCATGTCAGAGCAGTGGAGCTCTTCATCAAGAGACATGGGGCATTTGATGTGTGGGCAAGCGGTGGTACCAGCCCTGGACTGTGTGCAGATGCAGCCTAATTTCCTCAGCAAGGTTAAATTGATGGGTTGTGTATGGTTCTCTAGGGTATGAGGAGCTCAGGCAAGCCTGTGGGTTGCAGGTAATAGGTCTTATGGAAAAGTGCCTGGAGCTTCAGGATTTGCAGGGAAGTGATATGAAAGTGCGTGAAGTATAACTGGTTCAAGAGCCTCCTTGGAAGTCATGTTCCTGTCCCAGGAGACATCTTCCAGATTTAGAAAGAAAAAAATCCTGCCTTGCCTTTGGAAAACTATCAAAACCTCAAATATCTTCCTGGATTGACTTCTTAAAACAGTGTGGGTTGAGTTATGTGAAACATTTCCTTCCAGCTATCACAGAAGGAGGCAGGCTGGAGCTGGAAAAGCCTTTCCCAATATCACCCAGCAAACTCATAGCTTCTGACTTCTTCCAGTACCAAGAATATTAGAAGTCCTGGATTCCGGTTTCATGTTCAGGAGGCTGTGTTTCTTCCCTGGATGAAGGCAAGCAGGCTGCATGCAGGCAAGCTTTTAGACTCGTATCAGTTTCCACATGGAAGATGTAGGATGTGCTTCAGAAGGACAGTCAGGCAACAGTTATTTAGAAGCAAATGACTCCCAGTGAGGGATTGCACTGATTTCATAAGCTGGGTGAGTGAACCTGTGGGCTCCTTCCCTCCCTGGGTAGAATTAGTTCCATGCAATTCTTTGCAGTCCATTTCTTATGGCCCGGATTTATACATATTTTAGTACATAAAAACATACATTTCACGTCCTCTTCCCAATGGTTTTCTGCCCGTACTTAAAACTCCGCATCATCCTAAGGCTGCAACTGGATGAAAAAGAATTGAAACCGTTAAGATCAGGTTTTCTTTCAAAAGAAAACAAAGAAAACAACACCCCTCAAAAGTAATTGCTGGAACGTGTGTTTTTTTGAATTACACAGTCCCTGGGATGCCTCTGCCACTGGTGTGTTTGAATGCTGTAACGAAATTACAACCCAGGGAGGTTTTGCAATGAGTTGTAGCAGTACAGTTCTGACCATGCAGGGCCAAAGAGACCTGGCAACACCTGCCTTGCTGCTTCAGTTCCAAGCAGGGGCTTACATCCACAGGCTGCTTTCAAGACAATTGTGCTCCTATGTTTCTGTTAGAATTGCAATTGGATCCGGGGCTCTTTCTCTTGGGTTTTTATCTTACCCAAGTGTAGACATTATAACCCTTTGCTGCTTCTGATTTCATATGTAAAAGGTAGCTTCAGGTCGGCACTGGGTGAAGTGAGGGCTGTGTTTTGATACTGAATAAATTTTGGCTGAGTGAGCTGATTTCCCTTACCCCTTTTAACATTTTAGGGGATGTCCTGTCTGATCTCAAGCAAGTCTGCATGAGGTTTAACATGTTTGTGTGGCTGTTTTCTACAGGTGGAACTTGTGTGATTGAAGGTGGGATTTATAATAGTTAAGTTAATAGAATCACAGACTTGTTTGGGTTGAAGGGACCTTAATCTAGTTCCAACCCCCTGCCACAGGCAGGGGCACCTTCCACTAGACCAGGTTGCTCCAAGCCCTGATCTAGTGGTCCAATCTGCCCAATAATCCAGGTTGACCTCAGATGCTGGAGAGGGACTCTTCATCATGGACTGTAGCAGTAGAACAAGGGGTAACGGGTTCAGGCTAAAACAGGGGAAGTTCAGATTAGATATAAGGCAGAAGTTCTTCCCTGTGAGAGTGGTGAGGCATTGGCACAGGGTGCCAAAAGGAGTGGCATCCCTGGCAGTTGGACAGAGACTTTGGTGGCATGGCCTAGTAGAAGGTGTCCCTGCCCATGGCAGGAGTTGGAACTGGATGATCTTAAGGTCCTTTCCAGCCCAAACCATTCTATGATTTCATGTGCACATTCCCAAGTACCGTATCCTAATTACTAACTATATTCTGCTCAATGTGTGTGTGTCTGTATGAATTCACCTGTACTGACATGGAATACATTTATACAGGGGTAAATATCACATTTTTTAGGGAGAGTTAATGTGTGCAAACATGGCTTTCCTCTCCTTCCTCAATTCCTCTTCAAACACAGTGGTAAAATAGGATTTCAAAACTAAAGATGCTGAGCTTGGCCCTGGCTAGCAGCCTCGTTCAGTGCACACACAAGGACGCTACAGAAATCTGGGCTGGGGCACCTCTAGCAGCAATGAGACCTCCCCTCCAGACCCATCCTTTGAGCATCACTTTGGAAAGGAGCACGTGTCCCCACTGATGTGTGTTGCTAGGATCCCACCAGCTCTTTGTCCACAGCAAGAGACCTGATGGTCATTTCCCATTGAAGCCCTGGCCTCCACACTCAGCCATGGAAGTGAACTGGTCCAGAGAGCTCGCTCTTGGTGCTGCGGTTGGGTTTAATTACAGATGCTTCTGCTCCTTGTGAGCGTGGATCCTAATTGCATGTAAGGCAAAGGAAGAGCAGAAAAGAAAGGTTTTGCAGCAGCAAGTGCCAGGCAGTGGGCATGGCCTGGTGGATTTATCAGTTCACAGGTTTAAAGTGTCTGGAGGAGCTTCAGAACTCTTGGTGGTAGCAGGAATATTAGTAACATGCTCCCATATTAGTACAACCCAATAGGGGAAACTGAGGCACAACAGGGGTGAAATAGTAATAAAAGCAGAGCCTAAAGCAAGCAAACCTGTGCTTTGGGTGTTGTGCGTTGTCCACAGAATGGCAGAGAGATGGTTTTGATGCTCAGTTCGACCGAATTCCTTCATACATCAGGGTAATGCAGGAATGTCTTTTACCTCCTGCAGTCACGTAACTTGTGGGAGGATTCAGAACGTGTCCTGCCACATTTTTGCTCGCAAACTTACTTCCCCCTTCAATATTGCTGCACTAGCCTATGACACAAACCCATGCCTAGGCTCCTTTGGCAGGCTGCTTTAGGATAGCATGTAAGTACAATCATCTTTGGTGACCAAGAGAGGACATCTTCATCCTCTTCACTTGCATGAACCGTAAGCAAAGAGAAGCTCCTTTTCCCTGAGTGCATAATCTGAGGTATGGCATTGCAGGGAGTGCTTTGATGATGTGCTTCGGTTCCCTCCAGCAAAGCAGAAATCAACTGTGCTGTTACACTGCTTGAAAGTAAGGCTGTGGAAATCTTTACTAAGAACAGCAGAAATGCAAGATGTTTGTGATGGCCTGGGGACAAGATAGAACATTACAGGCTGGATGAGCAGGCAATTGGATGGGTAAGTGTCTGACGGAGTGCCTAGGCTGGGAGGACAAGGGTTATGGGGTTGCACTTTGCCTGGAAGATGGTAATGACATCTTTATGAGCTGGAAGAGATGTGTGCCTACAGCACAGTGAGCCCTGGTGCAGAAAGACCTCAGCTGGTTCTCTCTGAACTTGCATGTCTTCCAAGAGGTTGAGAGAAACTTAGGTTGGAAAGGATCTCTGGAGGTTTCTTGTCCAATCCCTTTTAAAAGCAGGAACAACTCAGAACTTAGGTCAGGTTGTTCAAGGCTTCGCTCAGTCACATTCAATCCTGTTGTCCAGGCTACTGATGGTCACAGTACTGACCCCTGAGGAATGCTGTATGTAACTAACCACCAATCTTAACTATTGAGCCCAAAGGCTCAGTCAGATTTTCAGTCACCTTCAGGTAGTTCACCCATCCCTTCCACATCTCCCCTGCTTCTCTATGGAGAGGTTGTAGGAAAGCCCATGAAAGACCTTGCTAATGCAAGGAAAACAATGTGCCTTTCTCTCCCCTTGTCCACAGAACCAGTCAAAGCATCATAAAAAGCAATTGGGTTTCTTGGTAAAGCTGTGCTAATATTTCCAACCACCTCTTTGTCCTATTCCTGGAGAAAAAGCTTCCTACTATGGTCAGCCTGGAGCTACTTAAGGTCTGGAATTAACCATTGGCAGTGCATCATCACCAGAAGACTTGTTGAAGAAAGAGGCAATGCAGCTGTAATGGAGATAATGCATTGAACACTTCTCTGTGGTGCAGGTGTGACTCAAGAGATGCCTGTGGCAGGGCTGGGGACTGACCCCACTTCTCCAAGCCTTGATTCAACAGGCATCATTGGGGAATGACCTCCACTGATCATTACTTTGACTGCAGTCGACAAGCCTCCAGGGAGATGAGAATCCACCTCAGACCAGCTTGCAAGAGGAAGGCTTTGATGAGAAACAGCGAATGACTCAAGCTAACAAAGAATTAATTGTTACTAGCACAAAAAATACCCTAAACAAACCAAAACTGCTCATTCCTGTAGCTGAGGTTCACGTACTGCCACAAGCTCAAGATAAGAATCATTGTTGCATCCAGACACGGGTATTGTGTGGGTTTCTGTCTCTGCAATAGTCATAAGTTTAAAAAATGTATTGATTTTATAATTAAGGCACTCTGCAATCATAAAGTTAAAAGCCATGCAAACAGATACACAGAGACCACATAAAGATAAACAAACATTTAGATCTAACACAGCATAAGTGCAATAATCACCCATAAATGTAGTAATCGCCAACTGTTTAATATAAATCAGGAGCAAACAAAAGAAGAGATGGAATGGAAATTATTATTTGTACTAGAGAAGCTGCAGAGGCCACAACCAAGATCACAGCTCTCTTATGCCAGGTAGCACCCACATACATAATGAAAGGCAGCCCTTGATGCAAACAGCTCCAGAATG